CTCTCTCTCTCTCTCTCTCTCTCTCTCTCAAATAAATAAATAAATAAATAAAATTAAAAAAAAATGAAAAAGGAAATTAAATACATCCAATATAAATGGTACAAAGTAAACATTCCCTTTCTAAAAGGGGGGTGAGGAATAACAGAATAGAAAGGACCAATGCAAGACCAAAACTCAGCAGGATAAACATTAAAATTCTGTAATTCCAGGTCCAGTATCCATCCAGGCAAGATGTGGCAAGAAGTGAGCTTTATAGGCCTGTGGCACTGCTGGTTGGCACCCTCATGTCCTCTCTCTTGAGTTAGCTCTGCTCAAAATCTGCAGCACTCCTGAGTAGACTAACCATATTCTTATCATTTCTAACATCCTGGGTTCCCTGCTACACTTTCAGCTTTATTCTCCCATCTTCACATACTGTCCTCTCAGGGCACACTGCCTGATGCCCCAGGCCTTCTGAAATCTAAGTAGAAGCCACACTGAACCCACAACACTTGCATTCTGTACAATATGGCCAGCAACACATGCATGATGTTAAGGCCTGCTATCAGTGGGAGCAGTAGCTGGGCAACCACAGTCAGTGGTCTCTGTGTATCTAGATGGCTGAACCCTGGGAAAAAGTTTACTAGATAGCCATGAGTGAGCTGGTCATTATGGGGCTCTCTCCTCAAAGTAAATATTTATGATTTTGCATCTTTCAGTCTGTGATAGGTAAGTTCTTGCTGGGATGAATTTACATTGTCTTTCTTACTATAATGATACAAAGTACTTGGTTTCTGTCTTGCAGCAACCATGTTCCCCTTTCTCCCAACACTGCAGGAACTTTCTTTTTTGTATTTTTAGAGACGGGTCTACAGGGTGTTCAGGGTCTCACTACTAGATCGGACTCATAGTGATCCACCTGTTTACACCCTCTTAAGAGCTGGGATTACAGGTACATCCCACCATGCTCAGGTTCAACTGCCATCTCAGCGTGCCCCTAGGGGTAGAGCCCCCAACCACCCTCACTCCTTCACCTGCTTGCAGGTGCTTTAATCCTCTGAGCTATTCATGTGGCCCTAGGGTCTTCATTTCTGATGAAACTGCAAACTTTTCATGTAAGTTTTTGCTAGTGATTTTCACAATAGACCTGGTTATAAATCTGCCAGCAATCTGCATGCCACAGCCTGGATACTGGACTTTGACATTTTCTCTGCCAGACTAATTAGACTTCCATGCTTAATCTTACTCTCCTATAAAACCTCAGATCATGAGAAAAATGAAGAAATATTTTCTGCTAGCATGTAACACACATGGCTTAGAGTCCAATTGCCAAGGGAATCCTTGTTTGCAGCTGAAACTTCCTAAGACTGGCCTTCACTGTCTGCATTTCTGTCAGTGGTTGGACTTTTAGCTGAAACCCAAATCTTAAACCAAGCTCAGCTTCACGGCAACCTCGAGCTTCTCTAGTGACATCTCTAAACCATTCTAAGCTCCTGTCATAAACCACTTCCACAGATTTCTGAACTATGTTAATATTTTCCTTTCAAAATGTCACTTCATTTACAGGAAAACCAAAAAAAATGTAGTCTAGCATGAAATAAATAATGGCAAAAATTGATAGTGTATATATTAACATATTCTTAATAATTAATATTTAATAATAGCAGCTATTATCTGATTTTGTATTATTCACCAGACACTGCTTAAGGACTTCATGTGCCATAATACATAGTAGTTACTATCATATCCCCACTTTACAAGTGAAACGTAGATATAGGGGACAAAGAACATGTCTGCCAGGGTAAATACTTTTAATTGCAGCCACTGGATTCTAGGTTTTATATTCCTAACATTATTTAAAGAACTGTTAGTCATCATTTTTCCAAGTAACTGTTATTTACTGAAATTTAACACAGGTATGTTTTACAAAAATTGTCTAAAAGTTTAATTCTTAGTAAACGTAGAGGCTTATATGCTTAATAAGAATCTAATGAATGACAGAAAAAACACATTTCAAGATCTGAACTTGCTAATAATTGGACAAATTATCAGACAGTTCAGCAACACAATTTTATCTTTTGATATTAAAATATGCAAAACACTAATTTCTACTAACTACATCAACAGAGAAAGTAAAAGAAATTATTCAACTCTTATAACTTCTGTCTGCAGTTGCCAAGTGACTTTATTAACATAAATCTTTCAGATGATTCCTTCTGGAAAATGATACATTTTGCAATACTTTTAAATCAAGAATATTTACCTGATAGTTCTAAAATTCTTGGTTCAGGTTCATCCAATTGTAAAAGCTCATCAAGAGCTAGCTTTGCTGCATTGGATCTAGATTCCTTTTTGTTTTGTCCCAGTCCAGTCTTATATTGAATACCATCCACCACAGCACAGAAAGCAAAATATGGTCCCATCACATTACCTTGAAAAAGAACTCAGAATGACTGCTACAATAATTCATAATATAGTTACAAAGGATACCTGTATAATGGGTAACATTCGAGTACAAAAATTATGAAAAACAATTTAGTCTAGAACACTAGGCTTTCTGAGGGCCAGTAGGGGTTGAAATCAAAGCTGGAAGTTCTGAGAAAGCTGGAATTTGGACTGGTCCCAAATTCAGTGTGAGCTATAGAGTTAGATTTAAAATACTGCATAAGTCATACATGGTTGACAATGAGTTTTTAATAAAATGCTTGGCACTCAATCTACTGAACAACTAATAAGAGGTACAATGAAGGGACTTCAGGTACCATTTCTTTTCTTTAAAAGTCAAGGACAAATAAAGTTGAATTTATACCATCTCTGGATCCCTCTAACAGTTACAAACCCCAGAACATGACAGATTCCTTAAAAAAAAAAACCATGTACCCATCAGGGCATCATGGTAAAAAACTACAATTCACTATAGGTTAGGTGAGTAGAGAAGAAAACCACAAACAAAATTAAAATGTACACAATAAGGAAAATAAATTAAGAGAAAGAAATACAAGTGGCAAATGAATATATGAAACAATGTTCCACAGTACTGGTCATTAGAGAAATGCAAATTAAAACAACACTGAGATTACATCTCACCCCAGAAAAAATGAGTATCACCAAGAAATCAAACAATAACATGTCAGGGGAGTTGTGGGGAAAAAAGAACCCTTCTCTGCTGTTGGTGGGAGTGTAGACTGGGTACAACCCCTGTGGAAATCAGTGTGGAGATTCCTCAAAAAGATAGGATTAGAGGTCTCATTTGACCCAGCTATTCCCCTTCTGGGTATTTTCCCAGAAGAATTAAAAACATCACACCACAGCGAAATCTGTGCACCCATGTTTATAGTAGTACAATTTGTAATAGATCTTGGAAAACAATACCATTGCCCATCAACCAAAGAATGGATATAAAAGATGTGATATTTTTATACAATGGAGTATTACTAATCTATAAAACAAGATAAGCTTGAGGCTTTTACAGGTAAACAGATGCAACTATAGGCTATACTCATAAGTGAAATAAATCAGACCCACATGTGTAAACACCGTATTGTCTCCCTAGCATAAGAACCTCAAAGAATAAATAAAATCTGAAAGGTACAATTGATATAGTGAAAGGGAAAGAAACTGCTCAAAAGGAATGAATAATACGGATGAGGGAAAAGAAGAAAAAGGAAAAAAAGAAGGGGAAAATCATGTATATATTTATATACAGGATAGCTAGGATCATTGTACTATTAATTTCTAGTGGTGTTTTGAATGTAGCAGTTAATTCTTAAAATTTTTACTCTGATCAATTTTACACACTTATGTCTGGTAATCTGAGCAACTACACTGAAGACAATAATGTGCAATATAACAAACATTGCTGAATACCTATCGTCTCATTTTTTTGAAATTGTGTATCATTTCTAATATCTTATCTATTATTTTTCTATACTCTTTAAAATAAAAAATAAACTGAAAATGTATTATTCTAAAATTACTTTCACTGTTTTGATAATAAAAATCAAGTGGAGCAATTAAATTGATAGGTTATATATTTTCTGATTCAAGTTTTTCTTGCTGGTATAATGGACTTTTAACAGCCTAAATCTCTAATACTTTTGTTATGGATCACTAAATCCAGAGTCATCACACATCAACTCTACCATCTCATGTCCTCACATACCCAATTATTTTTTTAAAAGACACATAGAAAAGTTTTATCAGAAATTCCTGTCTAGGTCTGGGTAAACTGCTTTTCTCCCATCATCAAAAACTTCAGGGGCTGGCAAGATAATCAACTAAGTACTCGCTTTGGCAAGTGCAGGAGCCAGGGTTCTATCTTCAGTCTGCATGCCACACAGCCCCTGTCTCCAGGGCATGCTGAGTCAGCGACTGAGTCTAGGTGTGCTGCCATGCACCTGTAATCCCAGTGCTGGGGAGGCTGAAAACAGAGGGATCACCATCAGCCTGAGCTGCATAGTGAGACCCTGTACCAAATACATAAATGAAAAAAAAAACCTTCAGTTTCCTACATTCCTTCATGATTTACTAAGCCAGAGGGCATTTTGTATATTTGGCAAATAACCCAGCTGATTCCTATGTAAAAGATAGTACAAATACCTGGTAAGTACTGGCTTCCATTTTTAAGCAGGGTTTTCAAACTTTAATGGTTCTAAATCACATGTACAACTTGTTCGTAATATTGGTATCTGGGTCTAAAGAATCATGCTTTGAATATAAAATAAATGCCATAATCAATCAGTGGGTGATGTTTCTGAGTAGTGTTTCCTCAAAGCAGTAAAAATTTTCCTTTATGAATTTTTTTCTTTCTTATAGTTGACCAATAGCCTACATTTCCCAGGGGTAGTCTGAGAATAATATAGAAAGATTAACAAATTCCATAGAGATTAGGCTCACATGTTTTTTTTGTCAACCATTAAATTTACTAATATTTCATTCAAAGCAACAGTCTGAAAGTTGATATCACTGTGATTCTAAGATCAATAGCTCTAAATTCTCCTTCAAAGATTAGCTTTGAGATCCATATTGGCAAAAGTTACTACTGAGAAAAGGAAAAAATCAAACTATTTGTAGGTATATATAAATGCAGAGTTTTAAAGGCTTTTTTTTTTAAACTCATAGCTTTAAACTGTTAGTGTCCCTTAAAAACAATTGTTCTGGGCCAGCCAGATAGCTAAGCAAGCTAAAGCACCTGCTTAGGCAGAGTGCAGTGGCGGGGGGTGATCCCTGGCATGCTGTGCCAGCCCTGCCCCCAGGATATACTGAAACAGAGACTGAGACTGGGCATGGTGGTGCATGCCTATAATCCAGCACTTGGGAGGCTAAAAATAGGAGGATCACTATAAGTCTGATCTGTGTAGTGAGACCCTGTAGACCATGTACTAAATACAATAATAATAATAATAATAATAATAATAATAAACTTGTTCTTTTACTATATTTTCCTAAAGTTCTTCCTAGTTACTGGCCAAAACATGAAGAGATTAGAAGCTGCTTCTTGTATTTTACACATGTATATTCTTGTAGCCTTCCATAGGTACATGAGAAGGGTTGCAAAGCTTAAATGAAAATAGTAGAAACTATAACAGACAAGTTATACTATAAATGGTATTGACTATGTAAGTACTCTTTTCACATCAAATCCTTGCATTTCAAGGGCCACATTTACCCATGTTTTTCCTTAGGCATCATAATCATAGAATTCTCTTAAGATCATCATAGTTCAAGTATTTAACATCACTGGAAAAGCATGTTTTACATGCAAGAAGCATCAAGGAGAACAGCCAAAATAATCCAGGAGAATTTCTTCAGTTTGGCTATCCACACACAAAAATTAGAATTTAACGATTATAAAAATTTTTATACTGTATTTCTTTCCAAAAGTTCAACAGGCCTAAAGCCAAAACATAAAAGTTCAAGTATATTTGTCAAGTTAGTATTTATCTAACCCTATTGTTTCATGCAATAACCAAAGGTAACACCACTGAAATGTTCTGATTCTAATGGAAAAATATTTTCTAGTACTTGTCACACCCATACACAATTTTGTACTTGCCTGTTGTGACAGTTTCCTTAAGGTCAAGCTGAACCCGCTGCATTTGTGCAAACTGGTGCAAGGCTGACACAGGATTTATCTCTCCACGTTTGTATTTCATTATAAATTCCTTAGGTATTTTTTTTGGAGGAAGGACAGGATTTGAAATAGATGAAAGACTCTTGGAAAGCAATGGTTCTGGAAAATTACCTAAAAAAATGTTTACATTGTCAATTTGGCTTAAAAAACCAAAAAATGTTCAAAAGCACTCAATTCTTGAAAATAGAGGTCAAATTTAGTCATTTTTAAATAAGTTTCTACTGAATAATTTTGGCACACATGACAAGCACAAGCTATTATTGCACATATCTTTCATTATACTAAGGTTATTTTCCAAAAATGCAATATATCAGTACATCATTAGTGATACCAAAGTATCATGGAATTTTAGCAATATCAAAGTCTTTATAGATGATATCACTAAGGCTTAGAACAGAGAAAAACACTGTTGGCATTAAAATTTGGTTTTCAATTCCCACCACTATTTTATACTGCCATCATATTCAGGCACTACAAATTTATGAGTAGTATATTTCAAGTTCAATTTAATTTTTAAAGTATGTGTGTTTCTACTTTGTGCTTAACACTAAACTACATGGTGTGTGGAATACAAATTCATGTAACTTCAATCCTTTCTCTGGGCCTCATATCAAAAAAGAAACATACTTGAAGCCTTCAACAATGAAGGTAGTAATGAATTATGTGAGCAGCAGGTGTAGGAGTTCTACAGGCTTGCTACAGTATGGCAAGTCAGGTATCTTCTCTAGCTGCGAAGTAGCTGCAGGGAAATGTACATCTAGAACACATTTAAACCTGGGGCTCAAAAGAACATACTGGCCATTCCAGCATCTTAAAGCAATGAGGCACTACTACAAATGAAAAGAAAGCATACCTGTCACTTGTGTGACCTTAGATGCCATATTTAGCAGGTTGCCACCTTCAGAGGAACATTTTGCAGGTAGAGTTACCGTCTGGACTGTTGGCTGAATGGGCAAGTTCTTTTTCAACATCTGAGCGAAGCTGGGGACCCTGGATCTCTGAAACCAGTCACTGCAGCCAGTTTTCTCACCTATAAATCACGATAAAATTGGTGGAAAGCGAAAACAAAATACTAAAAATACTCTGGAAAAATAAAACAAGCTGAAACCTGGATTTGCTATTACACACACACACACACACACACACACACACGGCCAAGTCCGTCCAATTGATTTTATGCTTTCTTTGCGAGTTTCAACAGAAACTGAATTCTTCTCTCCTGAGTCGTTTCCCTAATTCTATTATAAAGAGGGCAAGAAAGGGTAGCATTCTAGGGAAACCTTTAAATCTACTCAGGGATCGTGAGAGAAATTAGCAGGGTGAAGAAAAAGAAAACCAAACGGCAGAAGTTGGACTCCCAAATTCTGGCCCAGCTTCCACTCACTGAGGCTGTACTTCTCGTCTTCTTCTGGGGTGGACCCTGCCTGCAGGCGGGTGTTGGTCAGGGGCAGGCCTAGCCTCAGGCTACGCGTTCTCCGGCTGCCACCCGCTGCCGCCATTACTCAGTCAAGCGTCAACCTCTCCCCTCAGGCTGGAACACGCGGGCCAGACACGTCTTTTAAAAGCGGCCCTGAGAGCCCCACCCCCAGCGCCCTCTTTATCCAATCACCAACGGTCTTCGTGGCCCGCGCTCCGCCCAGCCCCGCACGTGCGCCTGTGCCCGCGCCTGCGCTGTAGCTCTCTGCGCGGTGGCCTTCTGCGCAGTTCCTCACACAGGAGCGCCTACGCTTGGTAAATATTTGAGGCCTTCGTGATTTCGTGAAGGCTAAGGGCCAAGGCCAAGCTCTGGCGGATGGATACTTCTGGTAAAACCGAAGCTGGTTGTGTAATTCTAGCAGTCAGGCGGCTGAGGCAGGAGGATCCTTGAGAGTTTGAGACCATCCTGGGCTATGAAGTGAGTTCAAGGCCAGCCGGAACTGCATAGCGGGACCTTGTCTCAAAAAGAAGAGAGAGAGAGAAAAAAAATAATCCTCTCAGCTTCTTGGCCACGCCTCCAACTATGTCACAGAGCAGAGTGGATGTTTATCTGCCACTTGTTTTTCTGTAAGACACTGTTAGTCAGGTGCTTGGAGTTGGAATTTCAAGCACATCCTTCACTTTAACCCCAAAGAGAGCCCGAAGAAGTGCCCATGGCAAGGCCTGTCTTTAGTAACCTTCCTGTGAAAACACTATGGATTCTCAGAAGCTTGGCTGCAGGGGCCAAAGGGCTCCTTTGGGAACATTAAGTTGGCCACTGAAAACAAATGACTGTATCTGAGTAACAAATCGAACGTGGCTATTTTTAATTCTTTGAGGTCAAAGAAGTTAAAATGTACCTAATCAAAAGGTTATGTGAAATACTGTTTAAAGTATTTTTAATAGTAAATCACTAACCAACTTTTACCATGTAATCAGGGAAGAATTCAAAGAATCCAGTGACATTGTTACACCAAAGTTTCAGTGACAATCTAGTCTATTTTCAGAAACGAAGAAAAACACAAAAATTGATGGCTCATTGTAACAAGAGGTAAATCAATCCATAAATACATGGTAAAATTTAAAAAAGACCCACCCCTCTCATTAAGAAATGTATTTTTAATGTGTATTTTTCTTTAATGATTATCAAGATCTGTTGTGTTGTTTTGATCAAGTGCTCATTAGTAATTGTAATGTTAAATCAATCTAGATTTATTCTTAGCATTTGGAGACTTTTTATTACAGGAAAGTAAAACATTTAAATGTTGCCAAAATGTATAAAGGCATAGTAAAACTTCACTACAAAATGTAATAATTTCATTAGGAGCAAATCTGAAGGGACAGAAAGAATAGAACTAACTACAGGCTTAAAGAGTTAAAGGAATGAGGAAAAACTTGTTTCATTCTCAATTGTAGCATTCATCTTTGGTGACTCTTGAAGCAGTTATTGTATTCTAATGATAATTTTACATTTCTCTCATTCCTTCTACAATTATTACTTGGAATTCTGTAAGAAATATTTGTCCACTTCCTTTATAATTATTCCACCATTTATTTGGAAATGGATTCATAGAAATTTATTTTATTGCACATAATCCAACACATCATTTATTTTACTTTTTGAATTATCCAATGTTCATCATTAAGAGGACTTTCAGTAATGGAAGGCTGCTGCAGTGTCTTTTTGAAATGCTTTTTTAGAATTTCTTTCTGATACTATAGGATACTATAAGACACTTGCATTGTCCTCTTCTAGACCTAAAATTGGCCAGGAAGCTCTGTTACCTTAACTGAGGAACAGGGTTTAAAGACTAAAATCTGAGCAGTGGGTGTTTTTATTACTTGTGTCCCTGTACAGGGAACAGCTATAAAAATGTATTTGTGTATATTAACTCCACAGATTAATCTCTTTCTGTATTTATTTATATAGAAGTGAATTTGTACTTATCCTTTTAATTGTAATCCAGTATCTCAGCATCTTTTTAGCTTTCCTTCTTGCTTGTATTTTTTTCTTTGACAATGAGAAATCTGGCAATATCTAAAAATTGATTTGTTAGAGTATGTAGTGATTGCAGTTTTGTTAATATGCATTAAGAAAAAGATTTACTGGTGCTTTTTTCTTTTTCACCTTCTGTAATAATATACATAACATCTAGTTAAAATACTCTTTTCCAAAGTCACTTCAGTTATTTATAGTTCTATGGGCTTTGAAAACTGCATAGAACCATGTATTTAACACTACAATACCATACAGGATAGCTTTACTACCCTAAAATTTATCTTCATTGGCTCTTTTGTAGTTAATGTATTTCCTGACTTCTGGTAACCATTGATCTCTTTTTCTGCTCCTATTGTTTTTCTTTTTCCATAATTTCATAAAAGTGGAATTACTTTGGCCAGGGAGATAGATCAGCAGCCTAAGTCCCTGCCTGGCAAATGCAAGGTCCTAAGTTTGATCCCTAGTGCCCACCCCCCACCCCCAAAAAAAGTAAATAAGTGAAATTACTCAATAGTTTTGATGTAGATTCTTTCACTTAGTTAAATGCATGTAAGATTCATCTATGTCGTTGATTATATGAATGGCATATTCATAGCCAAATATTGCATGCTACCACTATCTGTATGTTTAATTATTGGAGGATCTCTTATTTGTTTCCAGTTTTTCACAATTAGGAATTTGTCTAAATTAAGCATTTGGGTACATAGATTTTTCATTCATTTGGTTAAGTGATTAGGAGTGGGATTTCTGGGTTACATTGTAAAATATATTTAACTTTATAAGAAACTGACAAACTTTTTTGCACTCCCGTAAAAATGAAGAATTCTTATTGCTATGCATAATCACCAGCATTTGGTATTGTTAATTTTTAATTTTTTTTAATTAACAAAGAATTTATATTTTAAGTACAGGGTCTACAGGGTCTCACTACATAGGTAAGACTTGTAGTGATCCTTGCTGTTTTTCAGCCTCCCAAGCACTGGGATTACATGTGCGTGCTAACATGCCCAGTCTCCATAGATGGGCAGGACCAGCAGGGCAGGCTGGGGATTGAACCCTGGACCCCTGAGTCTTTCTAAGAAGGCACTTTGATCCGCTGAGCTATCTGGCTAGCCCCAGTATTAATTTTTTTTTCAACAAATAATACACTGCATTTATTATTCTTAGTGGTTAATTGCTGTACAAGATGCAGACTTGTGATCCTACTTACAAACACCATTAGAAAAAATCATTCTATTCATTAAGAGAATGCAACTATATATCTATCCCAACCACTTTGAATACACAGATACAAAATGGACATTCATAGTTATACCCCAATTTTTTTTTAAGTCTGTTATTGAATATTATAGGTGTGTAAACACAGCAAAATATTCTAAAAGAGTACAGAAGCCCATAATAGCATTGGGTCTTCTGTTTAATTGGCAATGTCAGAAATTATTGACATGAGTGCCCCACAGCTCAACATAACAACATGGCTTTACTTCCTATATTTCATCTTCATACTTTTCTACTGGATGGTTAAGACCAAGGTAAAGCAGAACCTATGCAACAAGAGTTGTAGCTTTTTGGTTTGAGAAGGTCAGTGAAATGCCCTCAGGATTTATCCTGAGATCCTGTACCTCAGACTGTAGAACCTTTGTCAGTGCAGCCATGTGGATGAGTCACGGCCATTGCTTGGCCAATGTGCTCTCTGTGAAAGCCTGAGAGAGTGTCTTCTCCTCATGTGACTCTCCTTAGGCACACTCCACGTCATCGATCAATTTCCTCTTTGGCCCCATAACCTTCTTGATCAGAAAATCTGGGACACTACCGAGGTACATGACGTTACAGTAGAAGTTCTCATATGTGCTGAGTCTTAATTGACCTTAGAAGGGTAGGGCCAAAATATTGGCTTTCCTTGTAGCCCTCCTTTTTCTCTAATTTTGGTCTGCAAACTTAGGTTGTTAACCATCCAGAAGACAAGCTTATTGTTTTTTTTTTTTTTCAAATTTTATTGACAAACAGCAATGAGACAGTTTCAAATCATATCGGAAGGACAGTTTCAACAAATAATACACTGCATATATTCTTCTTAGTGGTTAATTGCTGTCCCAGTATTAATTTTAAAATTTATTTTAGTCATTATAATGAACACTTAATTGTGGTTTCAGTATACAAATTTCTCTACTAAATGATGATGACCATCATTTCACATATCTATATCTTCACCATCCAAAATCTTAACATAGTGGTCATTTTAAGGCGCTTTTTAATTAGCTGTTTATTTAATGTTGAGTTTCAAGAATATTTTTATATTCTCTGCACAGATTTTGCAACATGTTGTTTCAGTCTGTCGCTTGAGTATTAAAGTTTCTTTGTAGAATAGAAATTTTAAAATTTGATGAAGTTAGTATTGATTTTTTTTAGTGAAGCTTTGGCTAAATTAACTAAAAGCTCATCATCAAACACAGTTGACACATTTTCCACATTAGATGTATGATCCACTTTCCATTTTGAAATAATTTTTGTATAAGATACGAGGCGTGTGTGTGTGCGTGTTGAATGTGCCTATGTATATTTTATTGCTATTTTACTTTTGTGAAAAATCATTGAACAGTTTTTAAGTGTAAGCTATACATTAATACAGTTAGAACTTCCAATATGTCACATAGGAGGTAATGAGGCAAAACATCCTTAATTTGTCCCAGACAAGAAGGAAAGCATTCAATATTTCACTATTATTACTATTATTATTATTACTATTATTATTATTGTTATTGTCAGGTATTCTTCTCTCATTACTGGGACAAACACCTGACATTCCAAATGAAGGAAGGAAAGGCTTATTTGGCTCACAGTTACTGGAGGTTGCAGCTCATACTCTGCTGGCTCCAAGGCAAAGGCTGAGATCAGCCTTTCATGGGGCCAGCAAGGAGCAGACGATCAAAATGGAGTAGTGGCAACATGGCTGCATTCAGGCTATTTGCCCCAAACTGGGTGTAGCACTCATACGGATAATCCAAGCAGCACTCACACCATTAATCCCAATGGATTATTAGTTAATCAAAAATGTGGAAGTCCACCCCATGACTACATGAGGCTTTGTGGGGACAACTAGACACAAATAACAATTTGATACCTGAGATCAAACTTGGAACTTTGAAGT